CCATTTTCGCAATTCTTTGACCAATAGAACGACGTGCACCTGTCTGTACTCTCGCACACACCATAGGTTACGTTAATGCAGAGAAAGGGGGAAAAGCAATTTCCGGAAGTATGATTCACCATCTGACGTAGCATATAAGGAAGAAAAGTTGTTTATTTAGTTTCGGCTTTGGTGCGGGGAAAAAATACGCGTTCATAAAAAAAAAAAAAAAAAAAAAAAAAAGAGAGAGGATTTAAAAAAAAAAAGCACTAAAAACAAAAATAAGGGCTTTAAAGAAAAAGTAAGCACCTATAAGGGCCTTTATATTTTATTTTCAAATATAAGGACTGATAAGCACTTGTAAGAAACACTACGAACCCTGTGTTATGTCAAAAAAATGTCAATGGAAGGACAATCATATCGCTTATAGATTCACTTGTACAACATAAAAGGATGGTACGCAACGACCACATTATATTTTATGTTACAAAATATTTTCCAACTGCAATCTTAAGCCCTCAAAGTTGTTAGAAGATTTCAACAATCAGCATGGCGGTGAATCAGTACTCTTCTGTTATTACGGCTGGACGTCTCGATAATAGAAGTGTGCGGGTGAATATGCAGGATATAGCCTTAACATCTTTAAATCTACAAAAGCATGATTTGAAGCCAGCTGTACTACTACAAAGTTTAATATTGCAGCAATTGAAAAACTTACGCTAGAAGCTTCTTATCAAGAGCGTATCCGTATGCTAAGAAAATAAACAGCTGAAGAACTAGCAAAACCATGTGCATTTGAAATTGCCAAAATTTTTGTTCGATTCTGAAGAATAAAAGAAAATTCAACAAATACCAAAATTGAATATGTGACTCAATTGTGGAATAAAGATCTCAGTGCCGATATTTTACTGCAAATAGCAGAAGATATCAAAGTTAGCCCTCTAACGATAAGCATCCAACTGGAGGAATCAACTTATGTTGATAATTGCAGTCAGTTATTAGTATTTTGCGATACATTAAAGAAAATTAAATACTAGATTTTCTATTTTGTGAACTGCTCGATTTAATAACAAAAGGGACTGAAGTTTTTAATTACATTAATTAAAAAAAACAACAAATACCCATGAGTATTAAAAGCTGTTTGCACTGATGGTGTCCAGCAATGTTGGGTAAAAATTCTGGATTTATTTCATATACGAAGAGAGAAACAACACAAGTTACTATAATGAACTGCACGCTGCATCGTTATGCATTGCATCGAAAACTTTGCCAGAGAATTTAAAACTACATCAGTGAATATAGTTAAATACATCCAAGGTTGAGCATTTAATCATCATATTTTTCATGCTTTGTGTGAAGAAATCGGTGCTGTTCGTACTGCGATTATTCATCATATGGAAATATGGTGGCTCTCTAAGGGCCGCACGCAGACCAGGGCTTTTAAATTGCACGAAGAAAGTATACAGTTTCTTATTAACCAAAATAGTGATTTAGTGGAAGATTTGGGAAATCAGACGCTTTGTGTTGGCTGGCCTAACTAGCAGATATATTTTGCAACAAGAATGAAGTAAGTACCTTAACACAAGGATTTGGCAAGAACATAATAACAGCTGGTGAAAAATTAGCTTCATTTACCGAGAAATTAAAACTTTGGAGACATCGAGTTGAACATGGGAATTTAGCAAACTTTCCTTCGCTGTATTCAGTTGTTTTTGCAAAGCACGAGTTCTGCATTTATTAAGTGTAAAATTTGGCTAATCTTTGGATTATGGTAACTTGGCGATTTTTTGGCGATCAACCCTGCTACAGCAACCTGCTATTTTTGTTTGGACGCAATTTTGTTTTCACGAAGCAAAGACATGTTTCTTTTCTTTTTATTTACTCAACACTTTTCCCAACAATCTGCTAGCCGAATTACACTTGTGCTAGAAATTTTATGGAACAAAACTGCTTAATCATGACAAATATTAACTGCAAAATTGGAAAAAAGTGCAGAATCGCAAACTTTTTGCCGCATTTTTCACAATCGCACATACACAGTAACCATGTACACGTCGACTTATTTTTACTTAAAAAAAAAAATCCCAGAATTGCTCAAAAATGCCATTGCGCACACTCTTGACTTTATCCATCTACAGTGCTAATTTCTCATAAATTACAAAAACTTGCACGAAAATGCAGGAAAATTTTGTGTATCTTTAAACTTGGTAAAAAGCAAATATATGAAATTACCTGATCGTGAAAAAATATGGTTGATCTTTACAATATGGTAACTGGTAGTTTGGCGACATTTTGGAGGCGATAAAGGTTACTACCTGGCACTTTGGTAATAATGTGAGCAGTACTCAGTTCCGATTACACATTATTTTGTGTGAGGGAAATGAGAGATCATGGGATATGTCATGTGATATTAATGGACGAATTACGGTTCTTTAATCGGAAAAGGGGGAAATCGGAAAAATCTGGAAATTTTGTATTTGGCTTTATTCTGTGTTGTGTGAAACAGTGTCGTGAATTTTTGGATCCCATGGCCGTAACTAAAGTGAATTCGAAATGGTATTTATGTATATTAATTTATGTATGTGCTCATTCTATTTTAGTAGTGTTTTTGAATTTATTATTTTTATTAATTAAAGTTTATTTTGTGAATTTATGTTTGTAGGAATTTGGTATACGTTTTAGTTGAAGTAAACGTGCATGGAAATAATTTAAATTCTGACAATAAGTTTGTAATGGTTGCGGTATGAATTCGTTTGGTGACGTGTATAATGTAATAGATGATTTAGAGGTAAAAGTTTTTGGATATTTTATTTTTTTATATGTGGAAATGTTCATTACTTTTTTCGCGATCAGGTAATTTCATATATGTTCTTTTTACCGGGTTTAAAGGTTGAGAAAATTGTCAGTATTTCGTGAAATTTTTCTAATTTATGAAGAAAAAGCAGTGTACATGGATATAGTGAACAGTGTGCGCAATGTCATTTTTGTGCAATTCTGGGATGTTTTTTTAAGTAAAAAATAAGTCGACGTATACATGGTTTTTAGTGATATTTTAATTAAATGATAGTTATTTTGTGAATTTATGTTTGTAGGAATTTGGTACACGTTTAAGTTGAAGTAAACGTGCATGGAAATAATTTAAATATTTGATACAAAGTATTTGTAATGCTTGCGTATGAATTCGTTGGTGACGTGTATAATGTAATAGATGATTTAGAGGTTAAAAGTTTTGGATATTTTATTTATTTTATATGTGGAAATGTTCATATTTGGAAAGGGTAAATACTTTTTCGCGATCAGGTTAATTTCATATATGTTTTTTTACCGGGTTTAAAGATTGAGAAAATTGTCATGTATTTTCGCGAAATTTTTCTAATTTATGAGAAAAAAGCAGTTGTACATGGATATAGTGAAGAGTGTGCGCAATGCCATTTTTGTGCAATTCTGGGATGTTTTTTTAAGTAAAAATAAGTCGGCGTGTACATGGTTTATGTGTATGTGTTATTTTGAAAACGCGTAAGGTGTATGTATTGTGCACTTTTTCCAATTTTGCAGTGAATATTTGTCATGATTAAGCAGTTTTGTTGATAAAATTTCTAGCATAAGTGTAATTCGGCTAGTAGATTGTTGGAAGAAGTGTTCAGTAGATAAGAAGAAAAGAAACATGTCTTTACTTCGTGAAGACAAAATGGCGGCGGGAAAAAAAAATAGAGGGTTGCTGTAGGAGAGTTGGTCGCCAAAAAAACGCCAAGTTACCCACTATATCCATGTACATTGCTTTTTTCTCATAAATTAGAAAAATTTCATGAAAATTTTGTGCATGGAAATAATTTAAATATTTGCAACAATTTTTAATGTTTGCGTTATAAATTGGCAGGTGACGTTTATAATAGATAATTTAGAGGAAAAAGTTTTTGGATATTTTATTTATTTTATACGTGCAAATGTTCATCCTTCGAAAGGGTATATACTTTTTCGCGATCAGGTAATTTGATATACGTCTTTTTTACCGAATTTAAAGACTAATTTGGCAGAAATGTTTCAGTACTAATCACAAGGGAAAGAAGAAATTTGAGACATACCGGCTTAAAGCATAGCCAGTGGAAGAAAGAGAAGTAAAATTACAAAGGCAAAATAAGAGGTAAATACTGAAATGCAGAAATATCTTGTTAAGACCTGTATATGCAAAAAGCCTGTACATGTTTGAATAAACTTAATCTAACTTTAAGTAGTATTCAAAGTATTAAGGGGAAAAGTGATAATACTCTTGAAAAGTGATTAAGGGGAACAAGAATGATATATGTCTGAATATTACTTTAAACTATATGTAAAACAGTATAAAATAAGTTTTCTTTTCTTTTAAAACTGCAAGAAAGCATAATAGCAGGAATATTTTTTGAATCACCCATGCAATAATTAGCAGATTAATGCATATAGATAATTGGATCCTAGCAGAGCCTACACCCTTGTCGCACCCACTTATACGGCACATATAGATGTGTACATGGACAAAGGGAGTGTGCAGGTTTGTGCAATTCTGGAATTTTTTTTTTAAGTGAAAATAGGTCGATGCGTACATGGATACCGAGTCTGTGCAATTTTTTTACTTTTATTTTCAAGTTGGCGATTTTGAGAAACGTGCGAAGCAGAAGTGGGTGATTCTGCACTTTCCCAGTTTGTCACCAAGGGTGTGGGCTCTCCTAGGATTTTACACATATGGATTATTTACAATAGCATTATTGCTGAACTTTTCAATTGTTTAAGAAACCTCTATAATAACTTGGAGATTAAATAATTTCTTGAATAATCAAACAATCATCTAATGCATGAAGAGAAAGATTTTAAAATACAAAACTCTAATCTTGTAAATAATCAATTTCATCTTAATACCGTGGTTTTAAAATAAAATAAAAAAAAACATTAATTAAAATACATAAAACCACCAATTCATTTTAGCATTAATTATTAAAACTAGTACTTAAATAATTCAAAAATGAGAAGAAAAGAATTAAACAACTTACCCTCAGAAACTTTTTTGTTTCGTTCGTAATCAAATGTTTCAGAGCCTGTATTTTCCTTAGAATTTTCCACTTCACTATTATCGGCGTCCATTCCACGAAGCAAACTAAGACGAGTGTGCCTGGATAAATTTCTGTTTGCATTTATTTCGACAGATCTCAATTGTTTGCTCAGACCCGAAAAGCGCAAAGGTTTTTTTTTATACATATCCATTTTGTAATTATATATAAGCAAACTCGAAAACCGAATTTAGGCTCAATTAATGATATAAAAGTTCTGAATTAAGGAAATGCAAAAACTACACTATCTAAAGCAAAACAAATAAAACTGCCTTGGAATGGATTAACACTAATTCAAGTTAGCAGTAGCAAACATGAAACATTTAAGAATTTCGAAAAAAAATCTAGATAGTGGCACTTATCAAGGCAAAAATTCGAATCAAAGAAAAGAAAACAGTTCACAGAGTTATAAGAAACATATTTCGCTCTAAATAACAAAACGCCAATTACAAAAAAGCGCCAGTTTTTAAATTTCTAGAGTTGAGAATCACTTGACTTCTGCTAGCTCATAAGTAGTAAAATTCATTACTGTTAACTGAAGATGCGATTATCAACTTCTCCTGATGAAAAGTAAAATTAAAGGAAATATTCTTATCATTGTTTCTTTTGTTTCTATCTTCTGCCCGTTAGGTATGGCAGTCAAATTCTCCAGCTCAAGATGCCTCAAAACCCAAAATACGTATTTTCTCCAAAACATGCAGACAGATCATGGAGATAAAAATCTTTGGATAATCAATCATAGGAAAAGCCCGTATCCAGTCATATAATCAGTTATGCATTTTTTCTTAATTTATCATTTACCTCGCTCCTTCAAGAGAAAATGGGCACATCAAGGAATTTACACACAAGAATTCTAACCTCCTTTTTTAGACATCATGCATGGGGTAAAACTGAACAAAGATTTCTTAATTATGAATTAATTCCAGAATATTGCTCTATGAATGCAGAAACTGAAAATTGCAGAATTTCCTGGATTTAAAAATTTTGTATTACTCTGCAATTATTTTAAATAATGATAACATTATTCCTTAATCCCATGACATATTTTGTATTTATGCCTACTACATATGTATTTTGTAAATGTATAAAAAAACGCCTTTAAAATATGTTGTGGTACAGGGTTTTGTAGTAGCTTAAAGCTATTGTATGAAGCCGAGTAAAAAAAGATGTTTCTACATCTTGACACTAGAGAATAAAACACGATCTGTGTGTGTGAATAGTTGCGTAAATAAAGTAATTGTTAAGCGACGGGGAGTCATATGTTATAAGAATTAACAGGAATCACGTTCGGGTCACCATTTGTAAGCGTGATGGATGGGATTCGTGTTAATTTTTATAACTCATGACTACACTCCTCTTAACAATTACTGTTAAATAAGCTGAAGTTTTTACAGATACTTGATGAAGTCTTTACAGATACTCGAAATGTTTAGCTCTCGAAAGTAAAGGCAATGTGTGTCGCCAGCTGGTCGCGACGCCAGCTGTTACGAAACACCAGGATATCAAAACAGTCTTATCCTACATACAAGCACAGCCGCCTCTACATCCGTCCCATCCTGTATGTAGCAACTCTAGTAAAAAAGACAACAATTATTGTGGATAGCATAAGGATATACTTCTATATCTACTAATATATTTAATATTACTATATATAAAACTCAACTATTTTAAAGAAAAATTTTCAGTATCATTACAATAGGGCCAAAAACTTGTTGTAGACGTTTATTTTTGTTATGCAGAAAGGAGTTGTCAACTGGCAACACAATGCGCGGCGCGTAAATGTGTAAATGTGTGTGTTATAAAAAAAATGTTGTTCTTAAAGCGCCATAATATTTAAATATTTCAATTTGATGACTCAAAATGGGATATTTAAAGTGTATTGAAGTAGAAAATTTCAAATCTTATAGAGGAAAGCAGGAAATAGGATGTTTGAAGCCATTTACAGCCATTATTGGACCCAACGGTTCAGGTATGTTATTTTTATAGCGATAGTATTGAAATTTGTCAATTCAGTTATGAATAGAATTCTGCAATACTAGTTTAGTTTATTTTTATTTCTATTATATGACAGCTTATTTATAATTTGTTTCAAAGCCAAAACTGCAGTTAAGTTTTATAAATTTCTCGCTCTGACATAGTCTGAAAAAAGAAATATTCTTTTCGTGCTATATTTAAGGGTTAGAGCCTTTCTTTTTATTATTGTCTGTTCTTCAAAAAAAAGGGGTGCAGTTAATTGAATAGTTTATATTATATATGCTTTTTAGAAGAAAATAAACGTATAAACGGAGTTCCATTGCTTGTGTGTATATTCCGACGATTTACACAGTACTGCGTACTATGTCATTATAGAATTCCTTGTGTACGCATATTTTGAAGTATTATTATGTAAATTGATAAAATTATGATTTAATAATATTTCATACTTAGCTTTGCAACATATATTTATGTGTTCGTACATGTAACGTGTTTACACTTTAAATTCTACATTGTTCTTTTCAGACTTGAAGATTTTCTGACTTTTAGGTACTTAATTTGTTTGTGGATGTTTAAAAATATTCAGTTATTGGAATATTTAATTTTTCAACTAATGGCCTTTCTGCTTCCGGAAACTTCCCCAAATATTGACTATTTGAATACTAAATGTATCTTCTCCGCTTCCCCAAGACATTTAATTTTTTTCCCCCATTCTTGATATTGATTCCTTGCAATAATAATAAATAAGTCTTATAGCTATGGAGAATGCTGTGCAATTCCATCAGATTAATGTTTGTACTTCCTTGGTTATTTTTTGTTTATTCATTTTGATGGTGGATTGCCACAACATGTTTTCCATGCCAATGTAGAATATTCTGAAATGTTTAGCAGTATTCCACGATTCTCATTACATATATATAGGGAAAAGGAACTACTTTGATATACCCTCCCAAATCGGAAATTTGGCGACTTTTTTTCCTCGCCAAGCAAAATACCTGTATTTGGCACCTTTTTTTTCTCGCCTGGATGGATTCTTGCTAAATACAAATAATTAATACATAAAAAATACGGAATCATTAAATACAAAAAAAAAAAAAAAAAAAAAAAAATGACACTGAATCAACAAATAACAACAATTGAAAATACGTGTCGGCAATCTAATAAAAAGAATTATTCATACAGAAATTTTGAATTCCTCCCAGTTTACCCCAGCAGCAATTTCAATAAATTTATTGAAACAATCAACATTAGCCACTAAACGTGATTTACGAAACATGTACATCGCAAGGTAAAATTTATAATCTGCCTTGTGATTGTACATAGGCAAAGAAGCTTTAACACGCCTCCACATACTTTCAGTTGTATTTGTATGACACCCGGAATCGGGGTCTACAAATGTTAAAGAATGATTTACCTTTAAATGCTCAAAACCCTCATCCGTCAAACAATCATAACTTTTCCAACAATCAGAATAAACAGACGTACCTGGCTTAATCCATTCCTGGTTGATCTTTACATTACGGTAACTTGGCGATTTTTTGGCAAAAATTTGGCGACCAACTTCCCTACAGCAACCGTCTATTTTTTTTTCCCCGCCGCCATTTTGTCTTCACGAAGTAAAGACATGTTTCTTTTCTTCTTATCTACTGAACACTTCTTCCAACAATCTACTAGCCGAATTACACTTATGCTAGAAATTTTATCAAACAAAACTGCTTAATCATGACAAATATTCACTGCAAAATTCGGAAAAAGTGCACAATACCATACCCTTACGCGTTTTCAAAATAACACATACACATAAACCATGTACAACACGCCGACTTATTTTTACTTAAAAAAACATCCCAGAATTGCACAAAAATGGCATTGCGCACACTCTTCACTATATCCATGTACACTGCTGCTTTTTCTCATAAATTAGAAAAATTTCGCGAAAATACATGACAATTTTCTCAATCTTTAAACCCGGTAAAAGAACATATATGAAATTACCTGATCGCGAAAAAGTATTTACCCTTTCCAAATATGAACATTTCCACATATAAAATAAATAAAATATCCAAAAAAACTCAAAAACTTTACCTCTAAATCATCTATTACATTATACACGTCACCAACGAATTCATACCGCAAGCATTACAATACTTAGTATCAAATATTTAAATTATTTCCATGCACGTTTACTTCAACTTAAACGTATACCAATTCCTACAAACATAAAATTCACAAAATAACTATCATTTAATTAAAATATCACTAAACCATGTATACGTCGACTTATTTTTACTTAAAAAAAACATCCCAGAATTGCACAAAAATGCATTGCGCACACTCTTCACTATATCCATGTACACTGCTTTTTTCTCATAAATTAGAAAAATTTCACGAAAATACATGACAATTTTCTCAATCTTTAAACCCGGTTAAAAAGAACATATATGAAATTACCTGATCGCGAAAAAGTAATGAACATTTCCACATATAAAATAAATAAAATATCCAAAAACTTTTACCTCTAAATCATCTATTACATTATACACGTCACCAACGAATTCATACCGCAACATTACAAATACTTATTGTCAGATATTTAAATTATTTCCATGCACGTTTACTTCAACTAAAACGTATACCAAATCCTACAAACATAAAATTCACAAAATAACTATCATTTAATTAAAATATAATAAATTCAAAAACACTACTTAAAATAGAAATGAGCACATACATTAAATTAATACATACATAAATACCCATTTCGAATTCACTTTAGTTACGGCCATGGGATCCAAAAATTCACGAACACTGTTTCACACAACACAGAATAAAGCCAAATACAAAATTTCCAGATTTTTCCCGATTTCCCCCCTTTTCCGATTAAAGAACCGTAATTCGTCCATTAATATCACATGACATATCCCATGATCTCTCATTTCCCTCACACAAAATAATGTGTAATCGGAACTGAGTACTGCTCACATTATTACCAAAGTGCCAGGTAGTAACCTTTATCGCCTCCAAAATGTCGCCAAACTACCAGTTACCATATTGTAAAGATCAACCATATTTTTTCACGATCAGGTTAATTTCATATATTTGCTTTTTACCAAGTTTAAAGATACACAAAATTTTCCTCATTTTCGTGCAAGTTTGTAATTTATGAGAAATTAGCACTGTAGATGGATAAAGTCAAGAGTGTGCGCAATGGCATTTTTGAGCAATTCTGGGATTTTTTTTTTAAGTAAAAATAAGTCGACGTGTACATGGTTACTGTGTATGTGCGATGTGAAAAATGCGGCAAGGAGTTTGCGATTCTGCACTTTTTTCAATTTGCAGTTAATATTTGTCATGATTAGCAGTTGTTCCTAAAATTTCTAGCCAAGTGTAATTCGGCTAGCAGATTGTTGGAAAGTGTTGAGTAAATAAAAGAAAAGAAACATGTCTTTGCTTCGTGAAACAAAATTGCGTCCAAACAAAAATAGCCAGGTTGTGTAGCAGGGTTGATCGCCAAAAAATCGCCAAGTTACCATACCAAAGATTAGCCAAATTTTACACTTAATAAATGCAGAATCGTGCTTTGCAAAAA